ACAGATATTCTAGAAACGTCTCCCAGGGCAGCAGCGTGTGAAAGTACGAATCAGTGTGCAGGCCAGAAGCCCCGCCGCACACTTTAGGCCAAGATTGTTCCAGAAGGACCAAAACCTTATAAATACGCTGGAATAGACAAGCTGAAGAACCCATCGCCTTTGTGCTGCCCTGAATAATGCCCTTGCCACCAGAACCAGGTCTTTGCTTTCTTTCTGCCTACTCCTCAGGACAAAATGGAGTCCTTTATAGCATAAGTATCAAATATTTTTCGACGAACCGAAATATTCTTGTGGTAGCGCACTAGACCATACTATTTTCCTTTTTCGGTCGGGTTGTCCAGTAGGGTCCATTCAATTCAATATACGCCTACCTGCTCCTACTCAGTAGCCTGAATTACAAATTTGTTAAATTTAGTCGTCGCGCGATCCACTCAGCAGTCAGATTAACACACTATAGTAGCCTGACTTACACCATTTTAGGTTTATTTTTCTGGCAGGATTGATAAGGGAGGCCCCAAAAATGTCGTCGACTTAAAATGAAAAGCTACTTCCTAATGTTCAGTAGTCCGACTTTCCTTATTATTACTAACTCCACCACCACGAACCCCTATGGGACCAACAACGAGCGCGTGTAATTTTGGGGGGTGTTCGCCGACCTTAAATGAGGGCACTGATGTACATGTAAGCTGGGAGGTTGTTCGCTGACCTTGGCGAGGTTTACATCGGGCTACTGCGTGGCTCCCACATTAAATAAATTAACCTTCCTCCGCAGAGAATGCTGCACGGCGTTGCGTTATCCGAGCACGCCGGAGTCACCATTGCCTTTGAAATTCGGTTGCTCTAGCCCGTTGTTATTGTTTTTCCCGAAATTCGAAGACAATGGAACTAAATTCTGTGCATTACTCCAGTGGCGCTGCAAGATTTATTGCCGGCATTTGATAGAGGCGGGGACTCATGAGCCATGACTTACTTGAGCCATCAAAAGCGTTCAGGTAAAGATCACACGTGGCAGGACATGCGTAGTCTGCAGGACGACAAAACCTTAACTCGTTGATGGACGTTCACCGACCTTTTACGGAACTCACATGTACTGTTCTGCCTCCCAATTAGACCGGTAAGAGAATGAGCTTGCGGCTCAATGGTTAGAGCGTTAGATTCTGATCGAAAAAGTCGCGGGTTAAAGTCTCGGGTGGTGTACCACTTGGGGTTGGGTATGACTGCCTGACGATGGCTAATAAGCCAGAAATGGCCATTTCCGTCTCCCTTGTCTTTGCCGGCAATAATATCTACTTAAAATCTTAAATTCCTGAAACCCTCACGTGGCCAGGTGTGAGACCGACTTCGAGGGTGAACACATACATCATTCCATTTATCTGTGTGCTCTCCTGCTAACTGTTAAGAGCCTCTGCATCTTTAGGGTCCCATATTCACTTGAATAAAAATTCACAAGAGATAAGCAGGACGTTGCTGAAAACCAAAACGTTAGGCTTGCATAAATTTGTAAACTCCCCCAGAGTGATATCAGTATCAAGGACATCCATGCGGTTGCGTAATCAATAAAAAAAATTTTCGGGAACAGCTTACTGGCTTTGGCGAAACAAACTGTCCTCCCAGTGGATCGTGGAGTTTACTAACGAGATATTGCCTAACAGCCGATATGAAGGCCTCTAAGTTTACATTAATTCGACGCTTGTCATATTACTTCGGGGACTTAAAACCTCAACAACTCACAAGCAAATAGGAATGTCCACCTGCACAGATGGAGTTTTTGTAACCAAAAATGACTTATGATTTCACTATCGGCTTGCGGAAAAAAACTGTTGAACTGTCTTTTCTATCATTCAATACCACCAGCCCTCAACCGCATCACATCTGCCAAACACCCTTAACAAGACAGGGAGCCTAGTAATCATTCTGGTGGATTCTAGATGATTGCTTAGGAAATGCTGCCTGGGCAGTCAGCTTGTTGATCCGTCATGGTTGATTCCATACGAGCGGTAAGTTGGGCGGGTAAAATCAATCCAAGTGTGATTAACTTCACGGCTCACTGTGAGCCTCGCAGCTCAAAGGTAGAGCGCTGACTGCACAAAAGCCTTCCCTTCTGTGTCGGTTCAACCACCACCGAGGTCACGAATTCCTCAAATGTCGGTCAACTGAATTAAGTATATCTGTCAAGTTCCCCTAACATGTAAAAAAGTAAACAGCTGATTGCGAAAGCACCTTACCTGTTGGCTGTCTATAGAATTCCTCGCCGCCTCTACAGTTGGGGCAGCTGAACCTGGTTTGCTGCCCGCTACTGTTTCTGCCTTCAACAAATCTGCCACAAAAAGAAAGAGCAGGAATCAGTGTTAGGCCTATTTAGCTGTCTTCGCCGAGTAGATATCAAGTTGACAAGTTTGCTGTGCACAGAACTCACAGACGACGGAATCTTCACACAACGCGATGAGGAGGAGCTCCGATTCCAGGTATATTAGCTTTGTGAAACTTCTAGCTCGAGCCTAAAAAACGTTAACCGGGGCAAATACATGTTAGGTGCTCAGGAAAGTAGACTCACGGGCACTCATGTGATCTAAAAATTGAGCTTTAGAACATTTATTGGATATTTTATAGAAAACAAAATGAAATTGGGAATTTGCATGGATAAACTTTACTGTTATCCTCAATTCTTATAAAAAACAACCATTATTTGCTGCGGACCATGAAACCACTAAACCCCTGCTACAGGGCACAGCTTAGCATGGGAAAAAACGCATAATTGGAGTTTGCCCCTACAAAAAGTCCGAGAATTTCTTGAGGCCATGCACTCCTACGATTCATGCATAGACGTAATTTATAAACACTTCAAAAAACGCT